CTTCCATAACCTCCTCGACTGAGTCCTGTCCTGCTGCTGCTGTGTATTGCTCCACATCAACGGATAGGGGGCGTAACAGTGATTAAACTGATAACAATAGTACTAAACACACCACTCCTATCTGGTGGCACATTAGATTGCACGAGCAGTGCCCAAAATTTGTTGTGATCTGTGAGTAAGGTAAACGGTTGTCCATACAAGTAGGTTGCAGCTTTTTGAGGGCCCACACCACCGCTATGCACTCCCTTTCAATGGCAGTGAATATACTTCGCTGTGCAAAAGTTTACGGCTTAGATAAGCCCCGGGTTGCTCGCCACCATCTGCTCCGACTTGGCTCAGTACTGCTCCCAATCCAAGCATAGAAGCGTCTGTATGGACGAGAAAGTGTTTAGTTGGATCAGGAGAAGAAAATACAGGTGATTTAATGAGCGCCGCCTTGAGCTGTTGGAAGGCCTGTTCACACTCTGGGGCCCATACTACTATCTTGGGGAGGTTTTTACACGTTCCTATATGGCACTTACTGGGCTTTAGGGTCAGTCCGGACTCCCTAATCCGGTCTATTACTGCTCCTATGTGGGTCAGGTGTTCGGGCCAGGAGCAGCTAAAAATGTCTATACCATCCAAGTAGGTGTGTATCAGTGTGTATCAGGGATCCTTAGGACAGGTGTCAATCCATATCTAAGTGACCCTATGTTAGTAACATTCTCTATTCTGATCTGTGTCAGTGTATCAGGAACCTTAGTAATAAAGTGTCAATCCATATCTGCCAAGTGACCCTATGTTGGGTAACATTCCCTATTCTGGATCTGTGTCAGTGTGTATCAGGGGCTCTGAGGACAGGTGTCAATCCATATCCGCCAAGTGGACCCCATGTTGGGGTAACATTCCCTATTCTGATCTGTGTCAGTGTGTGTATCAGGGGCTCTGAGGACAGGAATCCATATCTGCCATGTGACCCTATGGAGGAACAGTCCCTATTCTGCTCTGTGTCAGTGTATCAGGGATCCCTAGGACAGTGCGTCAATCCACATCTGCCAAGTGACCCTATGTAAAAAGGCCTGATGAGATGAGCTGTCTTGGGCTAAAAATGGTCCACACGCTGCTGTATTTTAGCTCTGAATGCCTGTTGACTTGCGTGACTTATCCGCCACCAACTTGGGTTCAAGCCGCCAGTGTGTACTTTATAAATGGTTTTATAAAGCAGTGTGTACTTTATAAATGGCTCCACCTGCCACCCGTACAGCAACACAGTCTCCAGTTAGGAGGACCATCCAAGCATCTTCTTCCATCTGCCTGTTACAGAAATTACTGCCGTGTACACGACCACTGATAGGAGACGCGGAAGGTATTAAACTGATAAAAATAGTACTAAACAATACCCCACCTCATCTGGTGTCACATTAGCTTGACCGCCAAGCAGTGCCCCAAATTTTATAGCAAGAGGACCGCACTGCCTCTTCCACCTCTGTTACAAAATCAATGCCGTGTACACGCACCACCGATAGGGAGACGCGTGGAAGGTATTAACTGATAAAAAATAGTACTAAACACACCACTTCCTATCTGGTGTCACATTAGCTTGACCGCGCAGTGCCCCAAATTTGCAGTAAGAGGACCGACCAAGCCTCTTCTTCCATCTCCCTGTTACAAAAATCAATGCCGTGTACACGAACACTGATAGGAGACGCGGAAGGTATTAAACTGATCGGAACAATACTAAACACACCACTCCTTTTTTTTGGTGAGGCTTTACAGGACAGAGTGCTTCTCCACGGGACATGTTAACTCACGGGCAGCTGGCTCATCAAGGAACCACAGCAGTTTTCCATGTACAGGTAAGACACGTGCAGCCGGTAAGGGTTCAGGCTCTTCTTCCTGGAGGATATGCTGCAAGCCTGTTGAACGAGGTGACCTTGCTCGTGTCCCAGGTGTACGGTTCCTAAAATAGCTGCCATATACACGTCCACTGATAGGAGACGCGGAAGGTATTAAACTGATCAGAAAAATACTAAACACACCACTCCTATCTGGTGGCACGTTAGCTTGACCGCGCAGTGCCCCAAATTTGAATTAAGAGGACCGACCAAGCATCTTCTTCCATCTCCCTGTTACAAAAAATCAATGCCGTGTACACGACTCAATTGATAGAGACGCTTAGTGGGGCTTAAACTGATCAGAACAATACTAAAACACACCACTCCTATCTGGTGGCACATTAGCTTGACCGCGCAGTGCCCCAAATTTGAATTAAGAGGACCGACCAAGCCTCTTCTTCCATCTCCCCGTTACAGAAATCACTGCCATATCCATACAAATTGTACAGAATGTCCAGGATAGTTTTCCATGGACAAATGTTGTCGCCTGTTGAACGAGGTGACCTTGCTCGGGTCCCAGGTGTACGGTTCCTAAATGGCTGCCATATACACGTCCACTGATAGGAGACGCGGAAGGTATTAAACTGATCAGAACAATACTAAACACACCACTAATAAGGTTTCTCTCCTGTATGGCTCCTCAAATGATGCTTAAGATTAGAAGCCGCTGAAAAGCATTTCTCACACTCCGAACAAAAATATATTTTTTTAACATTCTCTCCACTTCTGGAACTTAAATGACGCTTGGGAAGAGATTAACATAATTAAACACAGGCAGTAAAAATACAGTTTTTAGCCATACCTGTAACTCTTAGTAAAACTACACATCCCATCTTCTCATAATTACATATATTTGGAATCAGTAATACCCTAAAAACATAAACATAACCAAAAGCCAAATCCATCCAGGGGTTAAAAAAGTTAGCTGGAGGTCCCTTTATGACCACCCAGCACTTCTCCCCTGCCCAAAACAGTTCCATAGATTTGGCTGTGAGGTCGGTCTATTTCAGGCTGAAAAAACGACTAAGTCCCATCGCCGAATGGGACTTAGTCTCTGCAGCTGAAATAAGGCTGAAAAAAACGGCTGAAAAAAAGACTAAGTCCCATCGCCGAATGGGACTTAGTCTCTGCAGCTGAAATAATTTCCCATTTACTGAACCAAGTGGGAAATAGCAAGGCAGGTACAAAGGGTTTGCACCAGGTCTGGGGACACAGGGGACACCGTCTTAAAGGGGCCGTGTCCCCAACAAGTCTGGGGACACGGCCTTAAAGGGGCAGTGTCCCAATCTTCCTGATGTCCCAAAAAAGGTGTTTAAAGTGCCAGCACCAGTCACATAAAGAGTCCATAAGCCCCAATATGCCTCACCGACAGTCTTAAAGGGCCATACACACCAAATAAAAGTGCATACATTTTCACAATCTCCCAGGGGCCATAGTCATGCGGGAGGAGGCTGGCAAGTAGGCTTCTCCACAACCCAGGGAAGCAGGGCAATTTGCCATTTAAAGGTCCCGTTACAAATAGCATTTTGTAACAAGGTGTCAATCCATATCTGCCAAGTGACCCGATGTAGGGGGACCAGTCCCTATTCTGCTCTGTGTCAGTGTGTACCAGGGAACCTTAGGACAGGTGTCAATCCATATCTGCCAAGCGACCCGATGTAGGGGGAACAGTCCCTATTCTGCTCTGTGTCAGTGTGTATCATGGTCTCTGAGGACAGGTGTCAATCCATATTTGCCAAGTGACCCTATGTAGGGGACCAGTCTCTATTCTGCTCTGTGTCCGTGTGCATCAGGGGCTCTGAGGACAGGTGTCAATCCATATGTCAAGGTGTCAATATGTCATATGTCAGGTGTCAATCCATATTCATTGTGATTTAGGAATGTTAGGTGATTTCTGCCCTTTATGGATTAAAACCAGACTCTGTATCAACTGTGTAATTTTCCATGGGAGTTTTGCCATGGATCCCCCTCCGGCATGCCACAGTCCAGGTGTTAGTCCCCTTGAAACAACTTTTCCATCCCTATTGTGGCCAGAAAGAGTCCCTGTGTGTTTTAAAATTCGCCTCCCCATTGAAGTCAATGGCGTTTCGGGCGGTTCGCCGGTTCGCGAACATTTGCGGAAGTTCGCGTTCGCCGTTCGCGAACCGAAAATTTCGGGTTCGCGACATCACTACACCTCAAGTTAAAATTATCACATAACACCATTAAATTATACCTGACGGGCATCCAACACCACATGTTCTTAGCTTTTCCCAACAACCCAAGCTTTCTCACAGCATACCCCATTACTTAAGGGCATATCCAAGGCCAACGGTCCTACCCCACAATGTAGACTACCAATTAACAAGCAATTGTTCAAAAACATGTCTGACTTACTGGTTACAGCTCCAGCCGAACCTCGTACTTACTCCGTCATTAAAACAGCGATATACTTGGCCTTTAATAGCTTTCTGAGACCATGAGTATTCACTATTAGGGGCAGACAAAATGATCAAGGTTACCTTTGCACCTCTTACCTCAACAAACAGCAAGGCCTTTACCTATTGAGCCTACCCACGACCAAAAATAGTCAAATGGGGCAACCCATTCGCATCCCATACTACCCCATTGACAATTCATGGTGCCCAGTGAAGGTTTTTGATGCCTACCTACTCACTTTAACTACTCACGCTTCACTCCCTCTCCTGTCTCTTCACAGGGCTATCCTCACCACTTCTAAGTTTATGGTATACGTACGCCTGTTGTTGACAAGACTCGGCTTGAATGCCAATAAGCATTCTGGACACTCATTTAGGATAGGGGCAGCATCTACAGCCTCAAGCCAAGACATTTCAGTTCATGTTATTAAGACCTTAGGTCGCTGGAAGTCATCATCTTATATAGTATATATACCCCAACCAGA